GCTTCCTCCGTTGTTGCTTTGCATCTGATCATGGCAACTGAACAACACAGAATGACACTTCTCTGCCGGAGCTCCTGCCAGCTCCCCTTGGAACTTGAAGCCGAGATGCAAGGACTAAGGAGAGGGCAGCCAAGGCCTCCAGGTTGCCAGCTACTTGGCCGGCAACCCCATTCACATTGGGAAACAGGTTTAAAAAAATAAATAAATAAATAAAGCTGGCCCTGGGAGCAGTGCCATCCTTTTGTAAAGCTGGGTCAGTCATCATAAACCCTCATCATTATGCCCACTGCCGTCCCCCCAAGCCCCCTGCCGCCATCAGCCAAGATGACAAATATCTGGGTGTCAGCATATCCTCACGGTGCCACCTTTTGTTGACCCTGTGGGATTCTCCCCCTGTTTAGGTTGGCACGGGTGCTCGGGCCTCTGTTTTATGTAATAAGGCACATGAGAGAGGCCCTTTATGCTCTGCCTCTCCGAATGGGCGCCGAGCAAGAGGTCTTGCTGTACCCCATCCCATCATTTTCCGTATGGGCAAAGGCGGCTCACATTTCTGTGGCTGGGAAATGTTTTCTAACCATGGGCAAGGTTTGGTGTGTTCCCTCCCCCCACAACACTCCCCCCCTATCCAGTGCCATTTTGTTCCAGGCCAGGATCACAGTGACCTAGCTTTGTTCTAAGATGAATTTTGCAAGTGTGTGTGTGTGTGTGTGTGTGTGTGTGTGTGTGTGTGTGTGTAGGGGGGAGGGTGACACAACTACAATGTTTTCAGAGAAAACAGGCATGGGCGTGACACGGGCTGATGTCATGCAGTCCTGCACGGGCTGGGTCAGGCTGGGGAGTCTCACCCTTTGCAGATTGCACCAATAAAAGGGCACAGCTTGAGGAGACGGCCAGAAATTCACAGAATTCTCTCTTTCTGAGAAGGCTGATTTCTAGCATGTAACATATATAGAGCCTATGTTCAGATATACTTTTTGGGGGGTCATTTTTGCTTTAGCATATCAAGGGGAAATGCTGTTGAATACCCCCGGCCACTTAGCTTTATCATCCATATTGCTCCCTCGTTAATTTCTTGTCACACCACGTCCAACCTGAGCGTCCCGGTTGGCAGCCTCGCCAGCGGGAACAGATTGCTTTGAAATCAACACGGCTTGACATGGACCACAGACTGTTTTTCTCCCTTTTAAGAAAGGAGAGAGGCATTTATACAGAAAGGCTGCAGAGTGCTGTGCTGGGCAGAATGAGTGTATCGATTTATTCCTCTGGGTCTGGTTCGTGATGAATGGCATGCCTCGCTATGTAGATGGACTCACTTCCCTTCCCTCCTTCTGAAGTTGCCGTTTGCCGGGAACAATAAACTCCGGGAGGTTTGCTGCGATCAGATCGGCCCTCGAGGAGGGTGGAGCCTGCTCAGTGCTGCTTCCTTCTGCTGCTCTGTGGTCTCGACAGCTGAGCAGAGCATGGCTTATGTGGGGTCTCTGCCCGCCAGCCCTCCTTGCAGCCTGCAAAGCCTCACCGGAGTCCCTCCTGCTGGCTTCTCACGGGGCTGTGTTTGCAGGGGTGAGCACGTAAGTGAATTATGGAATGTGGGGTGTGTGTGTGTGTGTGTGTGTGTGTGTGTGTGTGTGTGTGTGTTTTGTGAATTTTGTGCCATTCGATCTACTTTTTCAGAGGAAGGCAGGGTATTTTCCAGCCTTGTAATCCAGCTGGGTCCTGTGTCTCCTGGCACTACTTTTCTTGTGGCCATCAGAAGAGGACACAGGGCCTTTCTCACACCCCCAAGATCTGGTTGTTGTCTGGGTCCTTTATTCCAGTAGTCTCCGTGCCACAAGGTACCTCTCTCTTTCTCTCATTGACTGTTTCGTTGTATAGATGTGCTGAGTGTGTGGAGTTAGAGTGTAGTGATCGGTTGCTACTAAGGAATGGTGAATAATTCATTGCTATTGTGTAATTCCTTTGCTCTGTGAAAGTTTGGCGAAAGAGGTTTTCTCCATGAAGAGCTGTTTTCCTCATGTTGTGTATCTTGTAAGAGCTGAGGTAGAAGAAGTGAAGGAGAGAGGAATGTAGGAATGGAGGAATAACATCTGCTTTGGGTTTGCTGAAATGATACCTGGAGGGTTTTCATCGCGGGTAGGATAGTTTGTATGCTTGCTTAGGGTTATCTTCAGAATGGCAAGGGAAGTATCGGGGTGCGGCTGTTGGGGATTGCCTGCATCACCTGTCACCTATACTGGCATCTGTACCCGGCTATCTGAGTTTGTTATTCATTGGGTACTAGACTATTTCATTTAACATAGTGTTCCCCTTCTATTTGATGAAGGCCCAGAGGTGGGAATTAGGCCACTTCCCTAGATTTGGATTCTCACAATCAGGTCCCACCCTTAGTATACTTCTAGTATTCTTAGTGGGTCACAGTGCAGCGTGGGGGATTGTCAGCAACTGGCTAATTTAGTATCATGTGCTAACTGGCCCTGAGCTCCAGGTGTAAGAAAGTCAGTGGTGAGTGTTGAATCTGATAAAATGTATAGTTAAGCCGACATGAGGAGGGAACCTGTTATAATGAAGGAGATCCTAAAAGGCGTTCCCCCCTGGCTTTGTACAACCGGGCAGAATTGAACTAGATTTTGGATTTTGAATGCATGGGAAGCAAAAAAAAAGTAGAAGACTCAATTACAAATTGTAGTGGGCTTTGATAATATGGCCAGTTTTTTCATCACTGTTTTACATGACTTTGTTAATGTAACTGTACAGATTCTTTCTCCGAATGACTATAATTAACAGTACTTAAGGTATTTCCATGCCCTTTTATAGGTATCCCTTTTGATTATCATATTAGTTTATCTAAAGGCCCCATGCACGAAATTCGTGCAAGGGGCTCAGCCCTCACAGCCCCGGCTGCTTCAGCCAGCCCTCACATCCTCTCAGAGCCTCGGCTGGTTCTTGCAGCCCCAGCTTCATCCAGAAGGTTGTTTGGAAGGATATCCAGAAGGTCCTTCAGCTATTCGGTCTAATTAGCATATTAGTTCTTTATTACATAGGATTAGAGGCCCAGTGCATGAATTTGTGCATGGGTGGGGTTCCTTGGCCTGGCCAATTAGGGAATCTCACCCAGTCCCTATTGGGGCTGGCTGGTGGGACTAGGGAAGGGGTCATAGGAGTTTGGCTATGAGAGTGTTGAGCTTCTGCTGCCTGGTGGTCAATATGTGTCATAGCAATTGGTCAACCGGTCATTTCAGTCGTTCAGTGGTAACAGTCATTTAGGCTTTTATAGATAGATAGATAGATAGATAGATAGATAGATAGATAGATAGATGCTACTTTCTCATTTTACAATTGAGAATATGGAAAGACAGAGGAAAAGTGACTCTGAGATCATTGGCTGTAGAAATTTTTTTTTTTATTAACATAAAATTTAATACTTCAGCCCAGCCAATTTGGCTCAGTGGTTGAGCATCAACATACAAACCAAGAGGCCATTGGTTCAATTCCTGGTCAGGGCACATGCTCGGATTACAGCTTGGTTCCCAGTGTGGGATGTGCAGGAGGCAGCCAATCAATGATTCTTTCTCATCATTGATGTTTCTGTTTCTCTCTTCCTCTTCCTTCCTCTCTGAAATCAATAAAAATATGTTTTAAAAAATCCCAAACTTTCATCACCTTTTTCTCTCTGGTCATCTCTAAACTTCTTCCATCATAAAACAGTGGAAAGAGCTCTGACCTGGGGGTCCAGAAACCTGGATTCCGATTCTGACTGGGTCATAGCTGGCTCTGTAATGGTGAGCAGTCCTTGGAGTCTTTGGAAGACATTGTCCAGCCAGCAGGTACAAGGCTTGATTACAAAAGTTCTGCATCTGCAGAATCCCTCCCCAGGACCTTGTCCAGGGCACGAGTCAGCTCCGCCTGCTCACTGGCAGCAAGCAGGAGAGGTGAGAAGGCAAGTGGCACCTGGGTGTCCTCTGCAGCTCTGCTTTGGCGCCAGGAGACACCTCGGATCTCCTTAGATGAGGAGAATCCCCAGCCCTTCCACAGCAATGTCCTCTGATCTGCCTCCTGAGCTGGCACTTCTCAGTCTGTTCTTTTCACTCATCTACAAAATAATTTGGGCTCAGCCTTCTTGTGGTTTCAGCCCAGCGATTACGTGTCCATCTGGCTCCCAGAGAAGCGATAACCTCCTTGCCTGAACCCATCTGTTATCTTAATCCTTTTTGGAACAGGGCAAATGTAAATAAATATTATTCTATTTCTCTCTCAGGTGTTTCAGCTTCTGGCAGGTGGTTGAAAATGGGCAGGGCAAATGGTGGGAAAGTATTTTTTATTTTTTTAAAATTTTACCTCCATGGTTTTCTATCAGTTGTTCACAGGGGATTTAGAAGATGTGATAAGGGTGACTGTGTTTCACTGACATTAAAAAACACACACACCTATAACCAACACCACCTACCATTACCATTGTCCTGTATAAGAGAGAAGTTGGAATGACAAATTCCCATCAGGGAGAAAGGCAAGGTCTTCCTAGATAAACAGAGTTGGCATTCCTTTTTTATTTTAAATATATTTCTATTGATTTCAGAGAGGAAAAGAGAGGGAAAGAGAGAAACATCAATGATGAGAGAGAAGACTAGATCAGTTGCCTCCTGCACAGCCCACACTGTGGACCGAGTCCGAAACCCATGCACATGCCCTGACCAGGATTCAAACTGTACTTCCTGGTTCATAGGTCAACACTCAATCACTGAGCATGCCGGCCAGGCCAAGACCTGGCATTCTTAAACTGACATCTTCCCCCTGGACTGCGGAAAACCTTATCCGTGACTGCAGCTCTGCCCAGCCTTCCACGTGGGCATTTGTCACTCACAGACTTCCTGGGCACAGAGTGGAGCCCTGAATGGGGGGATGAGAGATACGGTCCCAGGTCAGCCCTCTCCTGCTGCTGCCGTCCCTGTCCCTGCGCTAGTGCGGTGACACAGACCCTAACGTTATCCTCATGTCTTTCCCTGCAGGCAAGAAGCGAAACCCTGGCCTCAAAATCCCAAAGGAAGCATTTGAACAGCCCCAGACCAGTTCCACGTAAGTTGGCAAGATCATGGTCTTCATCCAAACACCCACATTTTACAGATTTCTGGGATTTGGGGGTTTACATTTGTACTGGGGGGCAATATCCTGAGCTTAGAAAGAGTGGTGAGGAGGAAGAGTGCTCGCCCTTCTGAGACTTGCACTAATCACACTAGGTCGGTCAGTCTGCAGTGAATGGGTAGCTCTGAACTCAGTGTCTCACATGCCTGGCTGGCTGGAAATGGAATGCCACAGATGCACTTGGCAGACGGGGTCCCCCGTTAGTCCAGCAAGGGCTCCGGGTGTGGACTGTTTGGCCTTTTCCATATAGATCTGAGCAAACAAGTAAATCCTTGTGAGAGCCACGACTATAAAACGGGGTGAGATGGAAAATGGTCTTTGATGAGAACTCAGATTCCCGACACCTAGATCCTATCCCACATAAACAGAAGGCAAAATGAGGTAAAGGAACACTTTTTAAAAATTTTTTATTAGTTGAGGCTTTGGCCCAAGTCCTCAAGTGAGCTCAAGTCCTGGAGAAGGAGGACAACCCTCGCCCTGAGGTTTAGGGTGAGCTTTATTAGTTTCTGGCCACTGCATGTTCAGCGCTCCAGCACCGTTTGCTGAAGAGGCTACCCCTCCTCCATTGACTCGCTTTGGCTTCTTTGTAAAATGCTAATTGAGCATACCTAATGGATCGATTTCTGGGTTCCCTGTCCATTGATCTGTTTGTCTGCGAACATCACATTCACTTGGTGACCGCAGCTATATAGTACGATTTAGCGTTAGGGAGAGCAATTCCTTCCACGTGGTTCCTCTTTTTCACAATTATTTTGGCAATTCAGGGCCTTTCTCTTTTCATGTAAGTTTTACAATAAGCTTATTGATGTCTTCAAATAAACTTGGTGAGGTTTTGATTGGGATTGTGTTTAACCTATGTATTATATAATTTAGGGAGAATTGGCATTTTTTACTAACATTGAGTTTTCCTATCCAAGGACACAGTAGATTTCTCCAAGTAGTTAGATTAACTTTGATTTTTAAAAATCAGTATTATATAGTTTTCATCATAACATTAGGCTTTAGCCTAAGTGTTATTATTATTTTTTTGGGGGGGTGGGGCGGGGAAGGAGAGAACAATTGTAAATGACATTCTATTTTTTATTTTATTTTGGTTTCCACTTCTTTATTATCGGTATCTAAACGTGCAATTGATTTTTGTGTTGATCTTGCTCTGTGACCTTACTAAGCTTACTTATTAGTTCTAAGAGATTTTTGGTAGGTTTCTTAGCATTTTATGTATAGTTAGCCATGCCTTCTGCAAAAAAAAAAGGGGGGGGGTACTTTTATTTCTTCCTTTTTAAATTGTATTTTTAAACCTTTCTTTTCTTACCTTATTTCAGTGGCTAGAATGTCCTGTACTGCTGCACTGTGCTCAGTAAGATTAGTGAGAGCAGGCACCCTTGCTTTGTTCCTTGTCTTTGAGGAAAAGCATTTCATCTTTCACCATTCAGCATATTAGATTTTTATAGATGCTTTTCATGAGGTTGAGGTGTTCTGGGGTTTTTTTTCTTTTCTTTTCTTTCTTTTTTTTTTTTTTTTATCATGAATGTATGTTGAGTTTTGTTGAAAACATTTTTTTTTCTCAAATCAGTTGCTACAACCACAGATTCTTTTTTGTCCTGTTGATATGGATTAAACTGATAGATTTTTAAAATTTTGCACTAGCCTTGAATATCCAAAATAATTCCCACTCAGTTGTGGTATATTACTTTTTTGTTTTGTTTTGTTAATTTTCACCCGGGGATGTTTTTCCATTGATTTTTAGAGAGAGAGGAAGGGAGAGGGAGAGAAAGAGAGAAGCATCATTGCGAGAGACACATCAGTTGGTTGCTCCTGTATGTACCCTGACCAGGGCCAGGGAACCTGCAACTAAGGTACATGCCCTTAACCGGAATTGAACCCTTCAGTTCGAGGGCAGATGCTCTATCCACTGAGCCAAATCGATTAGGGTGTTACTTTTTTATATATTGTTGAATTCTATGTGCTAAAATTTTGTTGAGGATTTTTGTCTAAGTTCTTGAGAGATGTTGGTCTGTAGCGGGGTTGTTGTTGTTTTGGTGTGTGCTCTTATTTTCTGGTTTTGATATTAAGGTAATACTGGCCTGATAAAATGAGTTGGTGAGTGTTCTTTTTTTTTTTTTTTTTTTGGCAGGCATTATATGCAATAGGTCTTAATTCCTTTAAAATATTTTGGAGATAAAATTGACATATAATATTATCTTAGTTCCAGGTATACAACATAATATTTTAATATATACAATTCTTTAAAAAAAATGTTTTCTAAAATTCTTCAGTGAATCAAAACAAGCTTGTGTATTTTTCTTCCTAGAGCTTTTTAACTACAAATTCACTTTCTTTAGTAGTTACAGGACTAGTCAGCTGATGATTTTCAGCATAGATAAGTTTCAGTTGTTGGTGATTTTCAAGGAATTAGTCCATTTCTTCTAAGTTGTTGAATTTATGAGAGTCAAATCATTCATAGTATTTCCTGAATATCTTTTAATGGGGTTTTCCCCTGACAGTAGTAATTTGTGTCTGTCTTGTCTCTTTTCTGTGTCAATCTTGCTAGAGTTTTATTGATTTTATTGATTTTTTTCTTTTAAAGATCCAACTTTATTTTCCTGTTTCCATTTTTATTGATTTATGTTCTTTATTTATTCTTTGGGGTATATTCTTCCATCAATCTCTCAACTGTCTTATATTACTTCCCTTTAAAAATTTTCTTCTTCACCTTCTAATTTGCATTAATTTTCTATATTTTATAAACACTTGAAAACCACCATAAATCCTGCCTTCATACAAACAAATGACTCTAAAGCCATGGGAAGATAAAAGTAGTTTCTGTGCTGTGTTTTCCTCAGGGGATAGAATAAACTGTGAATATACTTTCCTATTTCGCTGTGCAAAGCATTATTGTAGACTACACCACTTTCACTCATGGAAAGCCTCGTTATTGTTGTTGTTAGTTTAATACAGAGGCTTGAAGTTTTACTCCTAAAGAAGTGGCTTCCACATTTTGAATTTTCCTTGGCAATTCTGAGGTTGGCTTGGTGACTCTTAGCATTTATACCCTGCCCTCTTTCTGCTGTACTACGCAAAAATAAATAGCCTGGGACAGAGCTCCATTCTCTTTACTTCCATGTGTGTGGTCCCTCAGCTTGGGCCTTTTCTTTCAGTAACTGATGCCAATGGGTCTTTGACTTAGGTTTCCAAGCTGTCCCCTCACTTGATCGGCAGCAACTAATTCTATGTCGGTTCTGTGCCAGTCAGCATTCTTTCACTTAGCCCTCACAAGAAACTCTCCCTTTGTAAGTCAGAAAACAGACCTGTGAAAGGGTCAGGTGTCTTGCTCAAAAGCAGTCGAGCATAGCCTTGTGGGTAGGACTCCAGGCTGTGGGGATAGAATGCCAAGGTTCGTAGCTGGGATCTAAACTGCACGAGTTGAATACCTTAGACAAGTTACTTAACCCTCCTAAGACTTAGTGTCCCCTTCTGAACAAGAAAATAGGAATAAACAACAATGTGGTTGCTATGAAGATGAGATATCCCATCTCATTGTGTATCCCTTGTCATTTCTCAGTGAAGGTAGCGCCACGAGTTGCTGTGATTATTATCCCAGCACTATTATTACATGGGAGAACTGGATGCAAAGTCAGGGCTCTCTGGCTCTCAGGTGTGTTCTGTTAGCCACAGATTAGACGGGGAGAGACTGTGGCCAGATGGTCCCTGGCTATGAATGAGGGAAGTTGAGAAGATTTCGTGGTACAGCTCTGGGTTCTAATCTCACCATCTCTTACAAAGGCCTTGAATGATTTCCTCTGTTTCAATGTCAGTTCTCTAATGTTGGATAGAAGAAGAAGACTTGTAACAATAACCAGGGAGCTGATTACTCATGCGGTATTTATAAATAAATAATTGTAATACACCAACGCTGGTTATTCATATAAAACACTAACGCTAGGTGCTCTTTGGAATACCTTCCAGGGAAGGAATTCTGTCACAGGCTTGATTCTTCCCCTAGTGGATGAAAATATTGAACAAGTGACAGAAAACATCCACCCACAGAATAAACCTCCTACCCAGAGACTCCAGGCCCCAGGCAGACTTACGAGCCCAGCCTTGGACGGGACACAGTGTCAGCTAACCCAATCCCATCTGCCAGTCTTGGCCTGGTCCTCTGATGCTTTTGGCGGACCCGCCGAGCCCTCCGGCCTGGACCGTGGGCGGATCGATCATTTTCATCAGGGGAAGCTTGAGTGCTGAGAGCAGGCTCCGTGGGTTCAGTCAGACTTGGATTAGAATTCTGGGTACCCCACATGGGAGCAGGTTAGCTACCCTCATTTGGAACATGGGAATAATGGCACTCATAGGAAAAGGTTGCATGTGTGAGTGTGTGTGTGTGTGTGTGTGTGTGTGTGTGTGTGTGTGTGTGTAATGGCATTCAGGAAACGGTTGCATGTGTGAGTGTGTGTGTGTGTGTGTGTGTGTAATGGCACTCAGGAAAAGGTTGCGTGTGTGTGTGTGTGTGTGTGTGTGTGTGTGTGTGTGTGTGGAGGGAAGGAAGGGAGGTTAAATAATTCATGAGCTGCAGATAAAGCACCTAACCCGGTTTTCAGCATGCATCCTTTCCTCCTCAAGCCGAGACTCAGAGTCAGGTGATGCTATTTGTTGTATTTGCAGCTCTGCTGAGGACTGTGGCTTTAGCAGTTTCTCTGCACTTCATTCTCCTCAGCCTGCAAAATGGCACCAAACCCTCCTCATCGGTGGAGGTATGGTGTGCAATTAGTACAAAGCTGCCATCAGCAAATTTTTTTGCAGAAGGCCAGAGAGCAAATATTTTAGGCCCTCTGGGCCCCAGTGGCCTCTGCTGGGTATTCTTTGTTGTTGGTATTTTTATAACCTTTAACTTGTCAAAATCGCTCACAGCTGGGCCACAGACTGTCCTTGATGGGCTGCCTTCTGCAAACCCCACGCTGGGGACTGAGCCCTGGTGTGCATCCCGGACAAGGAGACCTGCAGGAGGGCTCCCGGTACCCTCATTGGGTAACAAGAGGGCGGAGGCAGCCCTTTCTGCTGCTTTTAGGAGGAAGAATGCTGAACAATTGCAACATTTTTTTTTATTGTTTATACTAGTCACACCTTTCAAGTGATATTTGTCTTTCTATCCAAGTTCCACTTCTTTTAATTCGCACAAATAGTGACAGCTGAAGAAAAATAGCTTAGGAAAGCTTAAGAACGAGGACTCAGATTTTTACGAATTTAATTCCTCTGGAAATGTGTTTCTCAAGAAACATTCCCTGTTCAGAAACACAAGATATATAAATATGTCACTGGGCGTGTCCACGTGTGCATGTGTGTGTGTTAGTGTGTGCATGTGTGTTTTCCATGCTCTCCCTCTCTCCCTCCCAGGCCCTGGTTTTCAGTGTGTCCAGGAAATTTATTCTGTGCATTTCGAAGGGATTTTGAGGTGAGAGAAGGCTTAGCAAGAAAGCCCAAAACTCACGTTTATATCTGTGTATATCCCTATGTTTCCTCATTGTTTTCCTTCTTCAGTTGCAGCAGAAGGGGGAGAAGTATAATACATTAGGGCTGGGAAAAGTTATCATTGGCAAAGGGCTCTCTTCTCTCTTCCTTTCCTCTGCCGTGCCTTCTGTCCCTCCTGGTGTTTTCCTAGAGACAGCACTGGCACGGACGGTCCCGCAGTTGCTTTATTATTTGGCCATATTAACAGTATGTTTCCTGGCACATACGATTTGTGTCGTGATGTTTTCGGTGCATTTATTTCAGGAAAATGCTTTTCTAAGCTCCTCGTTAGGAGCAGAGCCAGAGCCAAACGTCTTTCTCTTAAGTGGCTTGATATCAGTCCAGGCAGCAGTGAAGGAGTAGAAATAAACACATGGCCCGGCTCTGTCTGACGGAGACACGGATTCGGCAGGCCTCGCGCTGTTGGGCTGAGCCTCGGACGGTGTGTGTACTCTGCAGAGAAGAACTGTCACAGCTGACTTAGGCAGCCTGAGAGAGGAGAAGATATTCGGACCTGGAAACCAGGGGGCTTGGATTCTTTGTGACCTTGGATGAGTCATTTCACCTTCCCAGACCTTTTCTCCCCCATCTCTAAAGGCAGGGACCTGATAGATTTTGAATTCTAACGGTCTGTGAATTTTGTGAGTTCCAATTATTGTGTGATTTTTAAAACAGTTATGGAAAAAATAGGGGTTCACTGGGTACTTGGTGTTTTTAGACGAAAACAAAGTTTAAGGCGTACTGGAATAATATTATTATATAACTATACTCATATGGCTCAGATTTGTTGGATATTTACTGTATGGTAGGCATTCTCCTAAGCACTTTCCTGGGTACTTTTACTCTATTTGAGGTAAGTATTTGATACTCCTGCTCTATGAGGTAGGTATACCAATATCCTCAGGTTAAAAAAGAAATGGAAGCTCCAAGAGATTAAATAATTTAAACCCAAATGTGTTTTATTTCAAATCCCATACCATTAACACTTGTATGCTGCTTTATGTTACTGATAAATTTCCTCCTTATTTCTAAGGAAAACATCTCTCCAACCACATTTGATTTGGGAAGGACATTTTTGACTAAATGCTTACATTTCCCCTTCCCCCCCTTAGGCCGCCTCGAGACTTAGACTCCAAAGCTTGCATTTCTATTGGAAACCAGGTGAGAAAAGTCATGTCTCATTGAAAAGTATTTTCTGTAATATTTTGTCTGGGGATAGAACAGAAAGTTTGAATTTAAAAAGTAGTATGTGGAACTCTTGATAAAAAAAACTTTAAGACAAGGTAAATATATATTTACACACATAAATACATATATTTAAATATATATATTTTGATTTCACAGAGGAAGGGAGAGGGAGAGATAGAAACATCAGTGAGGAGAGAGAATCATTGATTGGCTACCTTCTCCAAACCCCAGACTGGGGATTGAGCCCACAACCCAGGCATGTGCCCTGACCGGGAATTGTACCGTGACCTCCTGGTTCATAGGTCACCACTCAACCACTGAGCCAGGCTGGCTGGGCTTGATATTTTTGAATGACAAGCTGAAATCAGGCTGCTGTGGTCCTGATGGAAGGCAATTGAAGATAGCAGATCCCTCCTCTGTGGAGAGGGAACATTTCTCAAAGTCCAAGCACAGACCTAGCTGCCATCCGTCAGCACACACACATGTATTTAAGGAGGCATGTCTACCAGTGCAGACAGCTTAACCAGAGCAGTTTGGAAGCTAAATTGGAGTTGGACCTTTATATCACCCGTGACAGGCAAGTGACATGCTTTGGGAGTCTGAACATCTCCCACTGCTTCTGACTTTCAGTGGCTGCTTGGAAAAGCCTTCGAGACCAGTTTCTTCTGGACCAGAAATAACCCTTACACTGTTGGGAGAAACCAGAGAGAGGACAAGGTAGTCTGTTGTTTAGTTTGTTTTTCTCTTTCTTATTGCATTCTGTTTCTCCCCTGCAGAACTTTGAGGTGAAGGCAGATGACCTGGAGCCGATCATGGAGCTGGGCCGAGGCGCGTACGGAGTGGTGGAGAAGATGAGACACGTGCCCAGCGGGCAGATCATGGCGGTGAAGGTAGAGTGGACGTTTCCCAAAGGTTTTCTGTCTGTGGCGTGTGCCTTTGTCCATCCCCAGTGCGAACCAGCGTTCTTCACAGAAGCAAAACCATCTTTTAAGGGTGAAGCAGAAAATATTATTTGTAGGGAGCAGATTGCTCTCCAAATGTGTGGACAATACTTCCTTAATTATCACCTATAACCAGGTCCAAATGAAGATTATCTTGATTGTCTTGAATTTTTTTTTTTTTGTACCCCTATTGGTTCTTCTAATTAGAATCCAAACAAAGGTTCACATATTGCATTTGGTTGTTATGTCTCAAAAAAGTCTCGTTTACTCTACATGCTATGACTTTTAAAGAAGTGTCCCTAAAACCCAGGAAATCAGAACTGAGGGAGAAAATTGTCTCCACTTGTGGAAAAAAGGAAGGGTAAAATACATCTTGAGTGAATTTGCATAATTTCTGTGCTATAAAAAGAAATGTACAATCATTGCATATTTCTTGAGTAGATGCCGGGAGGACCTTGGAGAATCGCCATCTCTAAATGAATTAATAGATTTGGGCCATTGTTAAGAGTGTGGGTGGTCAGATGACTTGGATCCCTTTGTTTCTGGAGAATGGAGATACCTTTTCCTTACCTTGTAGAATTTTCAGTTTATTCTCCTGCAGACTCTTTGCTAAGGAGGCAAAAAATGTGAATACCTCGTGATGTATTGTTCCTGTGATTTAATGAAATAATGGCATTTCTGTAAGGCTCTGTTTGCTGATGTGCGAGGTTCCTCTTTTCCCACAAGCACCGGGATGTGAACGAAGGATTTCTCCCTTTTTGTTTGGTCTCTTCTCTTCCCCACAGCTGTATCAGTTCTCTAACAGCTGCTGCTTATTTCAGCGATTTTTATTTGTTCCCAAAGTGGATCTTTGGGCCTTTATTGAAGGACTCCGCATCAGCCAGAGTCATTCCTACTGTGGCCTCTTTGCACTGAACAGATGTGATATGATAAACCAGACTGTTTTTGTAATTTGGAAATACATTTCCAAACATCTGCACATCTTCCAACATATATTATCACTTAGTTGGTTGTTTCGTTTTTTGAACCAGGGGTTGTTTGGGAAATCAGTAATAGCAATCTTCCTTATTTCTCCTTTGTTACAAATAGCCAATCCCTGAGGGTTGTTGCTAGAAACTGTGCCGTGGCTTTGTGTACTGTTTCCGGGGGGGGGGGGGGGGGAGGGGTCTCCCGTAAGGTCCCCGTGGTATTACCAGCTTCATCCTCAGAGCAGTAACCCTGCATTTAACCGTGCATCCCCCCCTCTCAGCGGATCCGGGCCACCGTGAACAGCCAGGAGCAGAAAAGGCTACTGATGGACCTGGATGTCTCCATGAGAACAGTGGACTGTCCCTTCACCGTCACTTTTTACGGCGCGCTCTTCCGGGAGGTAGGTGACCCCTAAGTTCCAAGTTGAGGGGAACATTCACTCACAGAGAAGTGCCTCTCATCACGTAAATGCTGGGCACCATCACGGTCCTCTATCTTTTTTGAATTTAATGTATGTATTGCCTAAAATTTTACACATGTCTCCTTTTCCCCTGCTTGGACCCCCCACCACAAGCCATTCCCACCCCAGACACGCCCTCCCCACAGCTGTGCCTGTGTCCATTGGTTATGCTCATATGAGCGCACACAAGTCCTTTGGTTGCTCTCTCACTCCCTGCTCCCATTTGTTTCTGGATCTATTCTTGTTCATCAAATTATGTAGATCATTATATCCCACGTATGAGTGAGATCATGTGATATTTATCTTTCTCCAACAGGCTTATTTCACTTAGCATAATGCTCTCCAGTTCCATCCATGCTGTTGCAAGTGGTAAAAGTCCCTTCTTTTTTATAGCAGCGTAGTATTCCATTGTGTAGATGTACTACAGTTTTTTAATCCACTCATCTGCTGATGGGCACTTAGGCTGTTTCCAAATCATGGTCCTCTTTCTTGATGGACAGGTCTCCTAGAGTCTTGGGCTTTGCATCGATAGCATGATGCCCTGGTGTAAAGTTGGCAGAGATGATGGTTTTCAGATGTGTTGTGTCCTGTTCAAGACGCTGTGGCTCTTTCTCCTCTCTGTTTTGCTTTGTCTTTTGGCAGAACTGTCTCTATCAATTGTCTGTTGATCAGTTTGGATATAGCTCTTAAAATATGAAATATTCTGCTCTGGCTGGGTAGCTCAGTTGGTTAGTGTCATCCCAATATGTCAAGATTTTGGGTTTGATCCCTGACAATCAACCAATGAATGCAAAAATAAATGAAACAACAAATCTCTCTCTCTCTCAAATAATTGAATAAATTAAATAAATATTAAATATGATCTGAAATATTCTTTCCTTTTGACTTCTTGCTATGTTTTTATGTAGCCTGCTTTTGTACTATCTAGACTTATATTTCTCTCTTTGCTCTACTTTGGCTTTTATAATGCTTCAACCTCATTGTTCAAACCAGCCTTTTGATTGACTATGGTCAGTGCTCCAAATGGAAGGAAGATCAGCCAAGGTGCAGGCTTCTAGACTTAACTCCTAGGACTAGTCACAGTAAAGGCCTGGATTTGGGGCATTCTATTGCTTATCTGAGTATTCCGATGCTATTTTCACTAAAATGTAGGCGATCACATACCAGTTCTGCTTTGTTTAATTAACTCCTAAGATTTTGAAGAGAAACTGTCCATTCCCTTGAAAACTCAGGCAAGAAGCAGTTCTTTCTGACAGGTGCGCACTGTTCTCTCTTTTTCCCATTTCCATCCTCTCTAACCATCTCTGCACCCATTGCTCTCTAGGGTGATGTTTGGATCTGCATGGAGCTCATGGATACATCGCTAGATAAATTCTACAAACAAGTGATTGATAAAGGCCAAACCATTCCAGAGGACATCTTAGGGAAAATAGCAGTTTCTGTGAGTACACAATGGATCCTACAGGGAGAGTGTGAGATGTCCAGGCCTTCTGTGTCTTTGGTCCCCTGTATGAGGACACGCTACCGTAGAATGCAAGGGTGTACTTAAGGATGGAGAGATGAATGCTTTTCCCTCTGAGCCCTGCAGCACATTTGACCTCTGGCTCAGTGTGGTAAACTCTCAGTTCAAGGGCCTCTCTGTTGTGCCTTCATCTGCTATGACTACATTCCTGGTGTCTTTTTTCTGATACCATTTAATTTTTATTTGTAGATTATTACACATTTTAATAGGACTCCTAAGCATAGAAGGAAGCAGAAAAAATTGAAATGGAAGGAAGGTGTTTGCCCTTAAAAGCTATTGAGGTTAAGGAGGGTGGAGGGAAAAAAAATACTGGAGACCAAATGAAAACCAAGGTATAGGATTAAAACATACTCTCTGCTATGGGATGGAGTCCTCTCTGGTGGGTAGAGTCAAGTTCGTGTAACTTCCTGTGCATTTTTCTGGAAAGGACCACCACTCTGAGAAAATACTTCACCTCATGACCTTAAGTCAGGGATAATCAACCTGGGCATGCTTATCATTCGATTTCTTTTCAGGGATGGGGGACATCAACCTATCCTGTGTTTTTCTTGCAGATTGTAAAAGCATTAGAACATTTACACAGTAAGCTCTCCGTCATCCATCGAGGTAAGCATTCTGGGGCTGCCCTGGCTGTTCCTCTCCTAGAGTTTGGGTCTTGGACTTGAGTTCTACCTCACAATGGATGGGAGTGGGATTGAGTCAGGCAAGAACACTGCAGAGTTTTCCCTTGGGACTGGATCGCAAATCCTACAAGTGGCTGCTCTTTATATTATCCAAGGGCCTCAGAAGGCATGGGTTGTATATTCTGTACATTACATCTTAGTCAAATATAAAATACCTGTTACCAAGCAGAGCTGTGGTATCACCTGATGGACAGTTCCAGAGAATAGGGTAAACATTCATTCAACCTGGCCCTCACCTGGAAGCTTGATAGAAAGTACAACTGTGGGTCCCAAGACCAACAGGCTGCATTTTAACCAGATGGTCATTTCTGTGCACATTCATCTGTGAAAAGGTGTGGTCTAAAGCACAGCCTTTTCAGATTCCAGGAGGCCAGATAAAATGAAAACAGTGGTAGATGTGTCTCTTCTTTTTTTCCCTCCTTCCCCCTTTCCTTCCTATCAACCTGTTATCTCTTTATCCATCCACCCACCCATATATCCATTCTTCCATCTTTCCTCAACCCACATATCTACCTACTTCTCTCTGATACTCATTTCTCCAGCAGTATGCAGCACTGTATTTTTACAGCCCTATAGTAGATGCCCTGAGAGGTATCTGAGAAGAAAATGTATTCTTACTAATGTTCTACACAGGAATTCTTGATAGGGAAATAAGCAGATATACAACAAACCCATGGAAGCCCATGAGAAATATGCAAGTACCAAGTAGAGAATTAATATAGGTAGAATATAAAACAAGGATATGATTTGTTCAACCAGGTTTTGGGAAAAATTAATGGCAAGTATTGATAGCTAATAAGACATTGAATTTGGTAATTTGTATGTTCTCTGAGCCAAAGGATGCCTGTTGCCATTGTTATTCTTAAAAATTGGAAACATAGGAAGGAGGAAGAGGAGAAGAAGTGGGACAGAGTCCAGAGAGGAAGAAAAATGTGGATTACCAACAGATGTGAGCCCAATTGATAAGGGTTTATTCTAAAATGATGAAATATTTCATCATCTGGGAGAATGTATATACAATTAAACAATAAGGAAAGGAAAGGTATGCCTACCATTCCATTGAAGGGGGCATTATAAAGCATAATTGTAAAAGTTTTTAGAATAACTTTCTTTTCCAATTACATGGACTTTGTGAGCAGTGTCCCAGGGGAACAATGAACTATAATTTTTAATTCCATTATCCAGCGATAACAATGGTTCATCTACTTGGACAGGTGCCATATCTTTCTCGGCAATACCCCTCCATCCACATGTATATTCTGTGACCTGCCTCATAGTCTCAGGAATATCTTTGTTCATGATGAGTTCTACTCTGTGACCTCTGACACACCTCTTAAAGGGGCTTCATCCAATACTGGCTGGTTTGATTGTATTTGGTGTATTGTTATGTCACAGTGTGCTCTTTCATTCCATGGGTTGTTATTCCTGCACTAACTGTGCAGTAGATTATTCAAAACTGGGCTTATAAAAATTATGTTATTGGTATAAGAACACTTCACGTGAGATCTCTGATCATAAGAGAGTTTTTTTTAAAAACATATTTTATTGATTTTTCACAGAGAGGAAGGGAGAGAGAGATAGAGAGCTAGAAACGTCGATGAGAGAGAAACATCGACCAGCTGCCTCTTGCACACTCCCTACCGGGGATGTGCCCACAACCAAGGTACATGCTCTTGACCGGAATCGAACCTGGAACCTTTCAGTCTGCAAACCGACGTTCTACCACTGAGCCAAACCGGTTTCGGCCATAAGAGAGTTTTAAGTGTATGGTATAGTGTTCATTACAAAGGTGTTCAGCAGGTCACTAGGATTTATTCAGATCCAATAATTCAGACTATGCCCATGGAATTGGGCATTTGATTCAGTAATAATTTGTCAAATTCTTACTACTACATGATGGGAGTTGGGAAGAATAAAGATGATAAAATAGAAGAAACAATTCTTTAAAAAAAATACATGTTTTTTTTTTTTTTTTAAATTGATTTCAGAGAGGGAGAGAGAGAGATAGAAACACCAGTGATGAGAGAGAACCATTGATTGGCTGCCTTCTGCATGTGCCCCAACTGGGAATCGAGCCATGACCTCCTGGTTTATGGGTCAACCCTCAACCATTAAGCCATGCCTGCTGGGCTTTTCTTTCTTCCTTTGATTCTTTCTTTTTACTTTCTTTTTTAATTTTTTGATAAAACAGTTCTTATGCATTGGTGGCTTCACTCAATCCTATAAGAAAGATAACCCATGAAATAGAAATTAAGTTGAAAGTAATAAGTATGTAAGTGAATCAGAGTGGCATTTACTCTTCTGTTGGCCCCAGGGAAAGGAGGCTGAGGAGAAATGGAGGTTTCAGGCCCTCTGGTGGCAGGTCGGGGCGATGCATCTTCAGAGCAGGCTGGGATGATGGCCTCTCCTTGTTCTTGCTTTCAGACGTCAAGCCTTCCAACGTGCTGATCAATGCTCTGGGCCAGGTGAAGATGTGCGACTTTGGCATCAGTGGCTACCTTGTAGACTCGGTGGCTAAAACTATCGATGCAGGATGCAAACCGTACATGGCTGTAAGTCCGGGCTGGGGGTGGCTTCGGGATGCAAACCACACCAGGGAATAGGAACTGGATGTCTACAGGAGGGGAAATGGAAATATAACTAAGACCCAAGAAATATGCTGCATTTCCTTTTTTTTCTTAAACATTTCCTGTCTGAAATTCTCAGTCACTTGCTTCATCTCTCTCTCTCTCTCTCTCTCTCTCTCTCTCTCTCTCTCTCTCTATATATATATATATATATATATATATATATATATCAAGCAAAAAGGTATATTGTTAGAAACAAAACCAAAGAACAAATAAAAAGATATACTGTTTGAAAAACATGTAAATAATGCATGCAGCCTACACAGTTTCCCACCCTGAGTCGCAAGGGCGTGTTACCTTGTTTGTTGAAGACAGAACAATAAAAAGAATTTAAATGACCCAACTGAGCTGTTCAGGCTAGTTTGGGAGAAACTCATAGCTGTGAGGATTCACTGCCGTCAGCAGAGACCGGGGCCCTTTAACTCGCAGGACTCCTACTGTGTTCCATGTTGAATGGACTTTGTGCTTGGAATTTAAAAACTTCTTGTCCCTGTTTAACTACAAAGTGCGTCAATTTATTAACACCAGACAGTGGCCCAGGGACTCTTCCTAAATTTTTTTTTTCACTGAGTTCTGGACTGTTGGACTATTGGTTGTTTTTTTTTTTTTTTTTAAATATATTTTATTGATTTTTACAGAGAGGAAGAGAGAGGGATAGAGAGCTAGAAACGTCGATGAGAGAGAAACACCCATCAGCTGCCTCCTGTACACTCCCTATTGGGTATGTACCCATAACCAAGGTACATGCCCTTGACCGGAATCGAACCTGGGACCTTTGAGTCTGCAGACCGATGCGCTATCGACTAAGCCAAACCAGTTAGGCTGGTTGTTTTGTTTTGTGTTAAGATGCTTTCTTGTTTTTTTTTTTTTTTTTTAATATTTTTTATTGATTTCAGAGAGGAAGGGAGAGGGAGAGAAAGATGAGAGAAAATCAGTGATGGGCTGTCTCCTGCACGCTCCCCCCCCCCCCCCCCCCCTATAGAGCCCACAACCCAGGCAAGTGCCCTGATCGGAAATCAAACTATTAAGACTTTCTGGTTCATAGCTCCACACTTAGTCTCTGAGCCACACTGGCTGGGCTGGACTGTTGGTGTTTTTAAGAAGGATCAGTCTGGACTGGCGAAGCAGCTTGGTATCCCGTTTCTTCTGAAGGAAAATGAACCGGTTTTGATTGTGAGGGGAATGTAATTTATTCTTGTCTCCGAGAAGACTCATGTAGAATGAGGGCAAGAACTTTGGCAACACTGATATTTATGGTCGTTGTTGAGCCTGCTTGGCCTGGGAGGCAGCGTTTACAGCTTCAGACAACTCCCTTGGCAACTGATGCCGCCCTCACCCCCAGAGACTTTACTGAGCTAAGAATGTCACCTCTGTCTTTTTCTGTCTCCTCTCCAGCCTGAAAGGATAAACCCGGAGCTCAACCAGAAGGGCTACAGTGTGAAGTCTGACATTTGGAGTCTGGGCATCACCATGGTAGCGTATGATAACCATCATGGGCGATGAGGTTCGGGGCATGAGACCGACAGGCAGACGCCTTCCCTGCTGGTGTTGGGCATCCTTCTGGTGTGAGATGGCAGGGGGTTCTGAGTGGCAGTGGCTTGTAGTATTTGCAGGAGAAATGCAGAGCTGGGATTGGGCAGACCCGGGTTTGGTCTTTATTCCACCTCTAAGTAGCCGTATGCCCTTGAGTAGATGATGGACGGTCTTACTGTTCCCATCTGTAAAACGAGAGGGTCCGACTATAGTTCCAATAGATTGCTTAAAATTAAATTATTCTAATCAAGGGTCAAGGAAGCTTAAGCCACTCAAAAGAGTGCCAGTGCGTGTAGACCCTGGCAGAGCTGTGTTACCCAGGACGGACGCATCTCCGAACCTGGTTATGATAGACGTCGTGGCTGCTGAGTTCAGGTGTAGTGGAAAGACATGATCAGATAGTGTGACTCCCTGAGGCTCAGCCCTGAGGCTCTCCGATCAGTGCCTGGTGGTGACTTGTGGTTGTGGTGCTCAGTGTACGGCCAGGGGCTGAGCTCTCCACGGCGCTCCTGGCTCCTTCCCAGGCGCAGCAGCTGCTTAATCCATGCGTTACTTCATGTCCCCGCCAGGCACACATGTGATCTATGACAGCAAAGCGGCCTTTACTCAGGTCCAAAAAAAGATCAGTCCTTGGGGCCTCCGTTGTTTTTATGTTGTTCCCGGGAAGGACCTGCAGGGGGCAGCAGCTGTACACAGCTCTAAAAGTCTTAGGGCCCAGAATCATTTTTTCAGTCAGAGAGGTGGAAAATCTGGCTGCTTTCAATCATGAAGTGTAAGTAAATACACCAAGGAAGTGCCTATCACTTTGAAGTGCCACCATGGGTAGGGGGAGGACCTGGTTTTAAACAGGCTTAGGAAGATCCTATCTGACCATCCCTAGCACTAGGAGATCGGCAGAGGTGGGGAGTGGGTGGAGGGCGGTTGCTAGAGAATTTAGGATTCACTTTCTTTCCCCTGAAATTGTACTTGGACTTCCCCATAGTTTCTTCCCCTGGTTCTCCTGCGAGAAGATACAGCAGATTTTGTAGGGGACCCGATTTCAGTGTCATCTCCTTGTTCTCTCTCTCCCCCCTCCTTCCCCCCCTCCCCCCAGATTGAGTTGGCTATCCTCCGGTTTCCCTACGACTCTTGGGGAACTCCTTTCCAGCAGCTCAAACAGGTGGTGGAGGAGCCGTCACCGCAGCTGCCCGCAGACAAGTTCTCCGAAGAGTTTGTGGATTTTACCTCGCAGTGGTAAGAAAACCCTCCTCCCAGGCACCCGGGTGCAGAGAGAGCAGGTGTTCGGAGAAGTTCCCCCACTGGTCTGGTCCATCACACATGCATTCATTCCAGTGCATCTGAGGAGGGAGCCTTCGGAGCTGGAACAGCAGAGATGCCTCATCAGGCCCCTGCCCTCACTGAGCTCAGGCTGAGGCAGGTGGTCCAGGGGTGCAGATGTTTCTAGAATAGTTGGGGAGCTCAGAGAAAAGATGTTGGGGCGGCGTTTCTGGAGGAGGTAAATCCTGAGCTGACACCATGTGATGTGTTTTCTGAGTGAAAGGCGAGGAGGGGAGGGAAGGGTATTCCAAGCAGGAGAAACCTCGTGCCTCGTGTCATCAAAGTGAGAAACTCTGCTACGAGAGGGTTAAGCAATTGGATGTTGATTAGGACATAAAGAGAAAGATGGTGGGGCCCATTGGAGGTTCAGGGGTGGAAAGGAGGAAGTAAGACACAAAGGGTTACATAGGATAAGAAGGCAAGGGCTAATTTCAGAGTGTTATTAAGATATCTGGAAGTCTTTTTTTTTTTTTAAATATATTTTATTGATTTTTCACAGAGAGGAAGAGAGAAGGATAGAGAGTTAGAAACGTCGATGAGAGAGAATCATCGACCAGCTGCCTCTTGCACATCCCCCTACTGGGGATGTGCCCGCAACCAAGGTACATGCCCCTGACCGGAATCGAACCTGGGACCTTTCAGTCCGCAGACCGACGCTCTACCACTGAGCCAAACCGGTGCCAGCAAGATATCTGGAAGTCTTAAAAGTGCTTCTGTCGTTTGGTAGGCTGTCTCCTTGTCTCCTACAAAGTACTTGCTCACTGGCTCTACAGTTAAGGTGACCAGATGTCCCGCTTTTGGCGGGACTGCCGATTTTTAACAATTTGTCCCTCCAAAAGCGGGACGTCTGGTCACCTTACTCTCCGTGCCCCGGTGGTATGACAGACAGCATTAGGGGCCTGAGAAGGGAGTGCAGAGATGGCATGGAAAGATAAAAGGAGCCACATGAATGCTGTAAACTTTACATCAGCACTGCCAGCGGAATGGAGGAAAGTAGGAGAGGGGGCAGTTTTCTCTAGGAAATCTCATGGTTTCTGTCTGCATAGGGACCACGGTGCCTAATGTACCCAGATGCTAATGATCTTTGTGAGTGATGCTGGGAAGGGATGCGAAAGGACAGCACAGAATGGAGCCAAGTGAGCTTATTTGGGCATCCTGCAGAAGCAGGGGAGAAATGGGGGGGAAGGGGGAGGCGGCATCAGAGAAGGGGTCCGCCCAGCTGGGACTCTTGGAGAGGACCAATGCTGGCTACTTGTTGCTGAGGTGGGGGCTGGGGAACTCAAGGCTCCTTGGCCTCCATGTTCTGTGGAGGAAGCGTTCTGAATACAGCTTTCATTGGGAAACATCGTGGGACAAAGCAACTGTCTGTGGCCGGTGAAACCGAGGCCTCTGGGACTTTGTGTTAGCTCTAGCCCACGTCACCCTTGAGGTCTGAGGGTGGCCTGCCGTAGACTGTCTGTGTTTTGGCGAGATGATTTTACGAATGGCTCAGGACTTTGTGGAAGCATTTTAATTTTTCGTATGTAATAGCACGCAGATGCCTACCTCCTCCGTGGCAGTCTAATCGTTTGACTGGTTTTAGTACTGAGAATTTTAAGTTTCATCTGGCCGTGTGGAAAGAGTGAGACAATTATTGTAACCTCAGGGCACCCCTCTTCTTCCCCAATGGAGAGAAGGACACAGCCTCTGAGGGCAGCTCCCTTTTGTGGTGGCTTCTTCATTTTCCTGCCTAGAAAACTGTGTTTTTGAGACACATCTTCATGAAAGGACCCTTTTTGGAGTGATTGCCATGAATTTTTAAATATGTTTATGACAGAGGCCTTCAACACATCTCAAAAAGGCCCAACTCTTTATTGTTAAGTGAGGACTCCAGATTTGGAAAGTGGAGGTTTTATCAAGTTTCAAGATGATTCTATCTATGCTTTTGGCGCCTACATCTGTCTCTGGACTCACTGTAGACCAAGAAGAAAATATTGTTTACAGCCTAGTTTAAGGTGATGCGGGATGTGGGACAAATTGTTAAAAATCGGGACTGACTGTCCCACCAAAAGCGGGACGTCTGGTCACCTTAGCCTAGTTATCCATCAGAGTATTTGTGAGTCTCGTGTGAGGCGCCCTCCCCGAGCATTGGATGACATCATAGTGGTGCTCCGTTCCATACAACTTCACCCAGGAATCCACTTGGAAGCCACTGTCCTCCGATCGAATGTGTGGGGTGTCAGTGGGTGCGGTGTGTGGGGCGGAGTAAGAAGCACTCACAGGCGATCCCCATCACAGCCGAGAAAGCTCTAGAGCCCAGAGCTCCAGCTGCTGATTCCCTTTGCAGTGACATCAGAGAAACATCATCTTGAGGGGAGGGGTGGAGGAAAGAACACCTTAAGGCATTTATTTCTCATGAACTTGAAGGATAAAAACACAATGACTGTCCGACCCTTCCTTGGTGTACTTCCTTTGAAATAGGGACTACTGGATGAGGTTTTCTTCCCCTTCCCCCCACAGGTGGCTTTCCTATCATAGGGGTTCCCAAGGGTTCCTGGTGTGAGTCGTGCCGAACCTGGATGCCTCGTTCAGCGTTTCATCCCAGAGAAGTCTGATAAGAGAAGCCATGTGGTCTAGCCCAGCAGCAGGCTTACCAAATGGGTCTCTCCAGGCAACGGGGTCCCCGCAGGCTCACATTGTTCCCCACACCCCCTTCCTCTAGTCTCCAGGCTTGGGGACTGACGGAGGTCCCTGGAGACCACCCCCTGAAAACACCAGAGCAGCTTGGCTTCATGTCTGCTTCTGCTTCAGTCGGTGCAAGAGGCTCTGCCCAGCTGCCCTGCTTGGGGGCACGTTGGCGTGTGTTGGAGGCCCACCCAGACATGGATCCTGTCTGACTCAGAGGAACTGGTATAAAACAGAGACAAGCAAATATAGTTCCCAACTTGTTCAGGAAGGACAGTAAAAGAGGCACTGGCTATGTATTTAGCTTATGACATATGTATGGCTTGAGAGCCAGGGTGTGTGTTTATTTTGTGGATGTACTGCTTAGCCTTCTTGGAAACCATGGAGGGTTGGGGAAGGGAGGGGCGGGTTCAAGCAGACAGAAATGCTCTAGTCAGCACAAACTCGCGTCTAGCAATCCTCAGGAGAGCACGAAGTGGCCCTTCAGTGTCGGCTACGGTCAGGAGCATGTGTTGTGGCATTTGGACGAGAAATTAGGGCTGTTAGCTAATTGCACGCTTGAAAATGACAAGCCACTTGAAAATGCAAAAGTCTTGACTCAGATCCCAAAGAAATGAGTGTCGCCTTGAGCTCCGCCGTTATTTGAGACTGAATTTTAAGTGCTTCCTATTGCAGAGGGAAGTGCCGTTCCCCCTCACCTGACACTGAGTGCCATGCGGTTCTGAGGCCATGTCTGTCTCGACTTGGGAGACAGAGTGGGCTCTATCCGTCACATTAATGCAGTAAACAGCCTGGGTTTGCTGTGAACATATTGTCTGTCAACACCACAGTGCTGCTCACGGTCAATTTTGAGCTTCCTGATTAGTGGCTGTAAGTCGAGAACGAGCCTGCTGCCCAGATTTCAGGAGTCCTTAACCCGTTATGATGGATCCACTTGGGGGAGTTTCCCACATTTTCTTTAGACAGATTAAAAAACAAAACAAAACAAAACAAAACACTGGAGAAATGTTCTTAAACTCTTCCTGACTAAAAATTACCTGTCCTTAAAAACCGGAAGTTTTAAGTTCTTCTACCTGAAAAGAAAAGAGATGGTAAGTTCATTACCAAATAGCTCTCTGCTGTTGGGAACCACCAGGAGAACCCTGTGGGAGCTCAGGAGACAGGGACACCCGGAGTCGTGAGTGGGAGTGACAAGGCCTCATTCATGTCATCCAGGCACATCTTCCCATGTCAGTCCACCCATTGATAATTCCTCTTTCTGATCCCCTCTTACTTGTACCCTCCGTTAAGATGAAACTTTCTCTCATAGGTGGTCTGGTCACTGGGGTTGCTAGGTCCTAGATCAGCCCTCAGTTCCAGACTGAAACTTCTCTCCTCACATCTACCTGTACCTTGTCTCAGATTCCCTGGCTTCTTCTATCCACAGCATTGCCCAGAATAAACTGGTAGGCTGCTTTAACTTCTTGGTTCAAAAGCTTCCTCTTCTCCTTCATTTCGTTTTGTGTTAAGCCACAGTTTCTCAAAGCATCTCAACTACTCCACTCTCCTATGGCTCTGCTCCTGCTCCCACCCCCTCCTCATGGTCGGGCTCTGTGGCTGGAGCAGTGCTCATCCTGGGTCCCATGTGCTCAGAGTGATCTATGAACACAGGTCCCAGCCGCCTCCAGCACCAGGCCACGTTCCTCTCCAGTTATGTCCTATTTTGTGGCCCAATGGGCAAGGGCAGTCTTTAGGTTGCCTGGCAAATCACAGTTTTTGAAATCATCCTTTTCTCCATTCTGTAACCTGGGATTCCAACTCCAAAGAAACCACTTCTTTTATTTTTATTTTTCCCATTGTGAGTCTGGGGATGGATTCAGGGGTACATGCAGGGGCAGGTCTGTTTAGACGGTTGTTTTATTGCTGTTGTCTCCGAATATCCAATGTTACTAAAATGTCCATGTCTGTAGACAGCTCAGTGAATGGGAGCCACTTAATAGGAGTGCATGACCACAAAGTATTGTAAGAAGAAAAATTGCTAAGTCACTGGCCATGACGTTCTCTTTCTGGTTGGAAACAAACAGCGTTGCCTTAGACATTTTGTTGGGAGTATTGCTTCTGTCTCAGGCAGGTTCAGCTAAGCCTGTATAAAAGCAAATTATAGGGGATTGGGAGCAAGGAGAATAAGGTATTGAAGATAGGGAAGAGATAACAGACGTAATCTAAGGAACACCTGCCAATTTCTTTGCCAGTGCTGGTAGAGTACAAATTGTTTTTGAAGGAAGGTGGATGCGTATTTTGAAATAGAATGGCTTTAGATCAGAAAAGCTAGTTTCTATGCCATTGGTAAAGTGTCAAAGGAAAGTAAACATACAGATGCGCACACACTCACACACCTGTTCTTTCCCATAAGGTACATGCGGAGTGCTTTAAGATATAACTTGAAAGTATAAGAAAATAGGAAAGGGAACATAGGAGATCTTTGGTTTCAGTATGTATTTTAAAGCAGGCTGTGCTTAGTTTTCTACAAGTTCTAAAACCCTAGGCTAGTGAAAATGCAGATGACTTCTATATTTTAATGTGATTGTTATTTTTTTCCCCTTTAAGCTTGAAGAAGAATTCCAAAGAACGGCCAACATATCCAGAGCTTATGGTGAGTACTGTTAGCATCATAAACATGTCCAAACTAACAGTGGGTAGTGATAAAGTATCTGAGACCTAAATCACAATCGAACAACCATAGAGGAAGAGCTGATTGACTCATTGAGATAGTGATAACTGGAGTAAAGCTGTGCATTGGGCCCTTCATTTGACCCCAGTCAAGAGAGAAAAGATGAGTAATGCTTGAGAAAATCCTAGCATAGTGCATATGCAGGTTGACTATTCCCCCCACCCCCCAATCAGGTTTTTAATAGCCGTTTCTGCCCTGGGTTCCCCTTTTTGGTTTGCTTCTGCAACCCCCAGAGCAATAGAAATGAATTTCACATCCAGTGCCGCAGTCATGAGTGGTCCCCGTGGGGTCCTATGGAGCCTGCACTCCTATTGGAAGCTTGCCTTGTTTGTCAGTATTTCTATGTAAAAGAAGAACAGTTCCTATATGTTTCTGATTATTTAAAATGCAAAACTTTTTTTTCCTCCTTCTAAGAGACCTCTTATCAGTGGTTTCAGTGGAAAACACTAAAGAAAAAGTGCTGATTTCTAACTTTACATCCATCGGCCGCCGGTGTTGAATTCTACCTTCTCTGTGGATTCTAACGCTGTGGTCTTCTGTGGTCTGCATATTGCTGTTGTCAGGTTGTGTGGGCAGCCCTTTGCTTGTATGGCGTTAGTCTCTGTGGACTGGAGCTGGACTTGCCTTTTAAGGCCATTACTGCTCTCTGCTTTTGTGTGGAATTGAGGTTTTTAAGTGGAAACTCTGAGTCCAAGCGCTTTGACTTCAGCGTTGGGAAAGCGCTTGCTGAGAGGCCATTGCTTAGGTTGTAGGAGTTGACAGAGAGGTAGAGAAGAAGACAGAAATCCCTTTTGCAGGTGAAGGACACTGTAATTAAGGCCCCAACCCAGACAGGTACCTCTTATAGAAATCGCAAGCGTTTTTCTTCCTAACTTGGATTGAGTGGGTGTGTTTGCTTTCCTCTCATCTCATTTGCTTGTTCTCTCAGACTCCCATTGGGGGACACAACTCAGTAGGTTTTGTTCTTCTAGAGCAGGGACCAGCCAGCTTTTTCTTTAAAGGTTTCAGTGTTTCCCAAAGTGTGGTACGCGTAGCCCCAGGGGTATGGGAAGAGTTTGGTGGGGGTACGCATTGCACTGGGTTTGGTGGGGATATACACTGCACCGTGCTTAGCTGCGCCTCATTCTACATTCTCATGAGTATGAGGGGTACTCAGCGTTACGAAAATTATAGAAGGGGTACATATATGTCAAAAGTTTGGGTAACACTGGGTTAGATAGTGAGTGTTTCTGGCTTTGTGGGACTGCTCACTTCTGTTGTTTGAGTGTGAGAGTAGCCATAGTGAGTATGTAAACAAATGGTGTGGCCGTGTACCAATAAAACTTTATTTGGAATATGGGCAGTGGGCTAGATTTGGCCCCTGGACCACCAGTGGTTGACCCCTATCCCAGATGATAACCACCAGAAATGGTAACCAGGCAACATAAGTGTTTGCCCAGGGAGGTGATTGTGCTCTCCAAATGCACTGGGATGTTCTAGATTGAATTGCAGTGTTAAGGATGATTGACCCCATAAAACCATCCTCCTGAGGGGTACGGTGTTGTTCATAGGCTGTGGAGACCATTGGTGATTGCATTGCCCCAATGCTCCTGGCATTATGTTCCTGGAACTCCATGTTTTCTCCAGGTGCAGCCACTAGTGAATTCTTTCCTTCCGGTACCTGGCTCCTTTTTTGAGAAACCCAGCCTGGCAATGATTTCCTGGGGCCGCATTTGCTCATCCCTCGGTCACTGTCCTTGCTATTCATAGTGCACCGCTTATAGAAGGGCCTGGGTTCCCCCCTAACCTTTTACAGCCTCCAAACCCACACATAGGCGAATCACACTTTCCATCCTGCCAAGCCTGCCTGCTTCCCTCCGCTCTGCCCTCTGGCTGTCATTGCATTTCCCCAGCCTGAGAATAAACTGGAAGATGTCTGGGAATTTTTTTTTTTTTTTTTTTTTTATAAAGAGATGTCAGGTCAGGTTATTGAATTCATTCACAGACTTGGGCTCCATCCACTGAACTAAAAGCCACCAACAGAACCAAGAGAGGCAAGACGGGCTGGCTGGCCTGGGAAGCAGTTGCTGAGATAATCTGAGGTTTCACATGTCCTGTTTTGATAGTAAAAGACTTTGAAGTATATTAAAAGATCGCCAAATGTCAAGGGGATGTGGGGAAGCTAATAAGCATGGTGGGAAAGCACGTGGTAAGTGTGCTGTGTGAGTGGTTAGTGATCAGAAGCAATGCTGTATTTACTTATCCAGAGAGCTCAGGCCCAAGGATCTGACATCAAGAGCTTCAGTTAATCTCATGGGTTTGAGGCTCCGAGCCAACACCCAACCTCTGTCCTCAGATGGGCCAAAGCGAAACGCCTTTCCCATTTTCTGTGTCCTGATACTGAGCGGTGACCACTTACCTTCTTTGGAACTTTATATTTGTTTTGTTCCTCTCCCATTTGCATTGTTTCCTAAAACTTCCATGGGTGGGCACTCAGTTCCCCGCAGGGCTGACTCATCCGGCCCCTCCTGTCCGGTTTACAACCAATATAATCAGAAACGCTACAGCTGGGCAGCATGAAGGCTGTAAATTAAAATCCCAAGTCAGGGGCACAGAGTGAGTCACATATATATTCGTCTGCATGCAAAAGGGCTCATGGTTAGCCGTTCCACCAGTTGCTGGAAAGAAGACCAGCAGGCAATCAGGAAGGTGGCCATGTTGGGTGGCAGGGGTAGTGGGGAGCAGAACACAGCTCAGGTCTTACCTGAAGGGACTGTCCCTCTTGATTTCGTTGGCTGCCTGTATTTCCCCTGTGAGAACTGTAGATCATGATGTATCTCCTTCTCATTAGAGGTGAAAGCTTCCAGTGTACAGTCAAGCAGTTGCTGTAACAACATGGAGTTATTTAGGGAAAATAGTTCTGGTGCAGAGAAAATGGCTTTGTTTCCTCCAAACTTGTTTTGAAATGCATGGCCTCTCCTGTCAGACCGTGTCTATTCCTCGAGCAAAGTGCTGGACTTGATGTTCTTGTAAAGTTGATTTCGTGTGACCTGCGTGAATAGAGACTATTTCTTTGACTTTTCCATCTTGGATCTCTGAGTTGCGTTTTCCGCACCCATAGCAGTTTGGCAGTCCACATTATTTTCCAGAAGGATCAACTCTTCCTCAAGAGAGACACACATAAGTCTAACTCGTGGCCATCCATGTGGCTTAGAAAGTGGCTTTGTTAACCCTTTGAGTCCAAACCAGCTCTCCAGGGTCAAGGGCAAGCAGTGCTTTGCCCGTTTTCTGTCCTGCAAAATTGGTTTTTTATTCTACCACCCATTTCCTGAGAAGTGACTGTGCATAAACCTGCGAAACCTCTAATTATTTTATTGCTGAAGCAGTATAACAGTTCTTTGTAGGGCTGGGTTATGTAAAAATTAGAGTTTGGACTATCTTTGCCGATCCTTGTATTTTACCATAAATAGAATCTTATGTAGCCTAATTACATATACTAGTATGTGTTTAAACACTAGGTCCTCTGTAGTGGGGACATATCAAAATGGGAGACTGGCAACTCTGAGGAAATATCTTTAAAAATGTTTGCATCGCTGGGTGTGAACTTGATTTGGGATGAGGTAGGAAGAGTCCAGTGTAGCCCTGCTAGGGTTATTGATTTGTTTACCAAATAGATCTGTTAATTAGCTCATCAGTGACAAATTTTAATACCATGTATTTTTTCTTCTCTTTCCCAGCAACATCCATTTTTCACTCTACATGAATCCAAAGCAACAGACGTGGCATCTTTTGTGAAATCGATTCTTGGAGACTAAAACGATGGACTCAATCGGTTGACCCTCCTGTGGATTGGTGGGTTTACGGGATGAAGCAAGGTCACTAAAGCGCCAACAGAAACTCATCCTTGAGATAATTTAACCCTGCCTCTCAGAAGGCTTTTTTCTCCCAATTTCCCCCACCCCCCTCCAAAAGGGGCCTTGGAATCTATAGTATAGATTGAACTGTCTAGATGGATGAAATATGATAAAAGCTTAGGACTTAAAAAGGTGATTAAATATTTAATGATGTGTCATATGAGTCCTTAAGCTTCGCAGATGCTTTGTTCTTTGCAAAATGAGTGCATTGGCCCTGGTCAAAAAGGTGCTACAGTAGTGATGACATTGTAAGTAGACCTATAGTCTGTCCCACTTATTATTTTAATATTTATGTTTAAGCGCTTGGTTGGAAAGATTCCATTTTATGCCAGGAGGAAGACACAGAAGACAAGGCTGGGTCGTCAATATTTATAGGGCTTTTATGTTTTAAGTTCAATTGTGTCTGTGGTCCAGAAGAAATTATTTAATATGCATCTTTAAGAGTATTATAAAAGTATCAACAAGCAGCTCCTCTCGTGAAATATCTGTTTTCAGCTGTTGTGGCTGCCGCATGTTCTCAGATTTCTGCTCAGTCCTGGGTCCTCACCACATATTCCAGGTGCGGTGGCAAGGTATCCTGGTCAGACTCTTCTCCCGACTTGGAAAACATTAAGTCACTTTTCTCACAGCTCAAAGAGTAACCAACTGGGTTCTTTTGACATTTGTGGTGTAGTCTTAATGGAATGTGATTCGTGATGTGATTTTCCTACCACTTCTCTTTGTGTGTGTGTATATGTGTGTGTGTGTGTGTGTGTGTGTGTGTGTGTGTGTGTGTGTGTGTGTGTGTGTATGTATTTGATAAGTCCCACATTTGGCCAAGTGGCTTCTGTGAACATCTGTTCTCAGTAAGGAGGACATTCGTCTGTCACGAGGGCGAATAACACTTCAAACCACACAGAGAATTGGTTCCTTCTGCTATTGCTCCTCCTACAATGGACATGCCCCAAGGATTGCCTTGTAGCTCATGGATTCACTTTTTTGGTTGTTGTTGTTTTATTCAGTGAAGAAGCCTTACTCACCATGGAAGAGTTGCAGTAGGAGAAAAATGAAAGGCAGTTAGGTGTCCTTTGATCAGATGCAGAGATAATGGAGGGGTGGATTAATTCCTAGGAATGGACTGGCAGATTTCCACGACTTGACTTGAGGCACATCTTTCTTCAGTAGCATGCAGGCGCTTGCTCCACAGGACGGGACTAGCTCCGCAGTGCATTCCTAGCTAGCTGAGTAAGCAGCAGACAAGAACTCTTCCTCGCAGCCAAACACACCAATGTGTCCTCTGATTTGGGGCTTAGGTTCCTCGAAGATCAAGGAGTGAAGTGACCCACAGGGAAAATACAACCAGGAGACATTGCTTTGGGACTTTGTGTTAAGACCAGGTGGCTCTTGCAATACGAGGCAGAAGATTTTGATGAAAAAAGGAAGAAGAGGACACACTCTTGTTTCTTTCTTTGCCTCAGGTTCACAAATATGGAGAGAAGGCTGCTCCCTCAAATCCTCCCCTTCTCCCCTTTTTAGATTTCAAAGTGCAATCATGTATTTTTCTCTGTTTGAATTTTCTCTTTGCTCTTGACCTTAGGTTCATAGCAGTTGCCCAGAGTGGGTATGGTATTTCAGTCACACAGGTCTTTGCTTCCAACTCCAAGAGATACCTATTTGAGTCAGCACCAGGTTCATCTGCTCTGAAGCTTCCCCTGTCTGCATCTTTTTCTACCAGAAAAGGGGTGTAATCCTAGTGATTATGGCTGTTCCCTTCCAGACCCACTGTCCCTCATCTGCAAGTTCCTCTCTGAGTCAGAGAGAAAGAAACAATCACAACTGTATTTTTTGCTTTTTCATCCATCGTATGCAAAAAGACAGACGTAGATACAAATCTGAGGTCCTTCCATTACAGCTTTGTGAAATATGTAAAGCAAAATATCTCTCTGGTCTGGGTCAGGTCACTCCTACCTGTTGTTCAGTGTAGTTTCTACTTGGAAATATTCTTAACCAAGAGAGTTTCTCATGTGTACACCTCTCTAGCCAGTGAGCCCTGGGCCTGGACTTGCACACTGGGATAGAGAAGGAGTTAGTTAGTTACCATACTGGGGATCAGAAGGAGTAAGTCAATGGGCCTTAACCCCAGTGCACATTGGAATTGCTGGGAGCTTGGGAACACCGTCATTGTCAGGGTCCCAGGGAATTGATTTTCATCTGTTAGGGTGGGGCCTGGGAGTCAGTGTTTTTTACAAGCCACTCATGTGATTCTGGTGTGTGCCAGGGTTGAGAACACTGGTCTAGTACCTCCTAAAGAGAGAGTTCACATTTCTCTTGAACATTTGCAAAGCATGAAGAGGGTCTGTAGAGAGGAACGGGAGCTCCCACTTCTTCCTCTGTCCTCATCAGTGGGGACACCTTACCGTCAGAGAAGGCGTGTTCCTAAGAAGACTGATGGGAAAACTGGGATGTCTTTCCCCCAGAGAAATGTTGTACTACACGGTGATTAAGTATCTTATGTACCAAAGTAGAATGGCTTCCTAGCTTTACAAGTCCAAATTGTAGAATGTGCTTTTTTAAAGAACTGTATTATAAGTTATAAACAACTAATTTTAAAATATAGACTATATATGTATAAACTATATTTAAAATGATATAAATTGGGAGTCTCTGGTAATACATACATGCATATGTATGTATATATATGTACATGTACAGGTATATGTATATTGTCCCCAAAATCGCAAACACACTTGAACAACTTATAGCTCAATTGATGTTTCTTTCTTTTCAAATTTAACCCATTGGAATTAATTATTCGAAGTGTGTATACTGGAGAGAGAGAGAGAGAGAGAGAGAGAGAGAGAGAGAGAGAGAGAGACGGAGAGAGAGAAAGAGAGAGAAAAGCATGCACCATCAGAATATTAGCTCTGTCTGTATTTATCAGTATAGTAGAAAGTCAGTGTATCTCTACAAAAGAATCATGCTCTTTTTTTTCTGGGTATCATATAATTGTCATATATATATATATATATATATATATATATATATATATATAGTGTTGATTTCCATGTTTGTCAAAAAACTGATGGGCATGACTTTGAGACAGTGCCTTCTGAGTGTATGCATCAATGGGTATTGCCCTTCGGAGTAGCCACTATGAAAGAATGTATATTTATATAAATATTGTTGCTAAAATATATTTTCCATTTCTCTTTCAGAAAAGTCTTCAGAATTCATTTCCTCTCCCATCTGTGTAACATGCAGAATCATATTATAATTGCTCCTTAGTAGTTTGTTTGACAAAAATTCTTATGAGGTATTTTTTTTGTTTGTTTTATCTGCCTTTCATTATCAGAGTTAGCTCTCAGCTATGTTTGTCAATTTCTAGAATTCAAATCTGCCCTCAGAGCTGAAGTTTTACTATAACTAAGCTTTTTTTAAAAACCATGCATGGGCTCTGAAGATAATTTCCAAATGTATATTTCCCCAAAAAAGTGTGCATTTGTTTTTAAGTAATTTCAACCTTCCTGGAATAAGTGTAGAGTCTTCCAGATTGATGACTTTGAAGGAGAAAGAAATCACCCAATGCATAGGTTTGATGATAAAGTATCAGTTGGATTGTCTCTGATTTCAGACATGGCCTTCATTTCTTGGCCATGATTGATAGCCCTGATATGGAGGAACAGTCCATTGTTTTGAAGACTGTTGTGTCCCACTGATAGAGTCAGAAAGAGTTGATTAAATAGCAGCTTCTATCTTCCTGAAATGGAAAATGGGCATATGGCTGTCACTCACAATTGTGCGTATTTGACTGTTCTTGTAACATCCAAGCCCACACGCATACACAAAAAGTGCATGCCAGGATTCCCAAACTTTCTCTTCATGGTGCCATTGGTTGTCTCAATAAATTTTTTTCATGGTGCCCTAGGCCCAAATAAATACTTAATAATTCCACTTATTAGATAACTAGGTCCAAACAATGTAATAGTGGTGGTTTGTGCCACGTCCTGCAGATGTTGCTGTGTTTCTTTCACACATTTATACTATTTGGTGAGTTCGCTGCCCTGCCTCAGTATGTCTCAGCACACAGTTTGGGGATCATCAATGTATGTTATCCTGATGTTTGCACTGTCCAAGGTGGTGGTCCTCAAAATGGAATTCTTGGCCACTCGATCTTCTGCATCACTTCACTCTTTGTGTTTCTCCATCATTCTGATTGTTTTTGCTTGCATCTGGTTGACTATCTTTTTAATAGAAGTTCTCCCCTCCTTTGCTGCCACACCATAGGTCATAGTATAGAAAATGCAATAGTGATTGCCCAGCATTAGGGGGGGCCCTGGCTTCTCCAAATGCAGTGGATTTCGTATCTTTGGAGTATAATCACAAAGGGGCAGGGAGTGGATGACCTTTTCATAGCTGAATACCAAAAATCCTTTTGGTGACCAAGGGGCCTCTTTATCTCTGCTCAGAAATGACTCTGCTTCTTCCAGATGTGTCTAACAAAACACATTCTCTCTTGCATGACAGTGCAGTGGATGCCTGCTTCTCTCTCCTACCCAAATGCCTTGCGGGTGATATAAACCCCTCTGACCTCAAAGGTCGAGTTCCTATATTCATAAAATTCATTGGAGCTGGTTGTCAGATCTAGTAATATGAATTAAACCTCTGTTGTGCTGGGAATTTTGCCCTCTTAGTGTCTAGCTATGTAATTAAAGGGAGCTTTGCTGGCTTCAAGGAGTCTTCCATTTTTATTGAATTAGCAAGTAGAATGCAGTTTTCATTTGGACCCCTGAACATATACAAACTCAGATGGAAAAATGTCCAAATTGGTCTATAAAGAGGAAACTTGATAGAAAAAAGAAAAAGATACTTTATTCTGGAAGATCCGCATTCCTCTCATCTAGGAGTGTGTGTGTGTGTGTGTG